GTAAACACTTATTAAGCACCTACTATGTGCCAGGCACTATGCTAGCTGCTTGGGATGCAGAGATAAAAGTGAAATGGCACCAGTCCTCAAGGAGCTCATGCCCGATTAGAAAATGCAGCATGTTTATACAGGGTGTCCCAAAAGTCTAAGTGCAGTTTTAAACTTTAGTATCCTATCATATTATGAAATATTATATTATATTACATTACGTTGCATCACATCATATTTATGTGTACAATTATACACAGTTTATGTTATGGTATGGTATGATATGGTATGCTACACTATGCTAAAGTTATACTTTATTGTATTATATTATATCACTATATTTATTATATCACACTATATTGGTGTGTACAAAGTATACATTTATACTATATTATGGTATGGTATATCATACTATGTTATGTTATACTAATACTATACTATATTATATTATACTAAATATGTACAACTGGTATTATAGTATAGTATGACATGGTATACTATACTATCTTATGTTACATTACGTTATGTTATGTTACGTTATGTTGTGTTATGGTATGTTACTATGTTATAGGAGGCAGCTAAGTGGCACAGTGGATACAGTGCCGGACCTGGAGTCAGGAAGACTTGAGTTCAAATATGGCCTCAGACACTTGCTAGCTATGTGACCCAGGGCAAGTCACTTAACCTCTGTTTGCCTTAATCAACCAGAGAAGGAAATGGCAAATCACTTCACTATTTCTGCCAAGAAAACACCATGGATAGTATTGGTGTGCTATGGTCCATGAGGTCACAACTGAACAACAACAAAAACAGTATATTATAATGTACAAAATATACACAAATTTAAGTGGAAGGTTGTTGGGGGGGCAGGGAGGTGGTAGCATCTAGAAAGATCAAGACAGACATCATGTCAAGGTGGCACTTGAACCAAATTTTGACAAAAACTTGAGATTCTAAAAGGTGGGTTTGGGGAGGGAGGGCATTCCAGGCATAAGGGACAGCCAATACAAAGGTAGACAGGAGATAGAGTGTTGTGTGAGAGGAGCAGCCAGAGGGCCAATTTGGCTGGATTATAAAGTGACTAAAGGTTGGAAAGGCAGGTTACAGCCAGGCTGGGAAGAGTTTTAAATGGCCAATAGCAGGAAAGCTATCCTTCTTAATTCAAAGCTAAGTTTGAACACCATGTGCTTCTTATTCAAGGTCTTTATTGCCCGAGCTTATATTGGTCTGATCAGCCACAGTCGGACACATTGTAACTTGACTCTAACGTAGTGATGTCACTTTGGTCCTCTTCAAGATCGGAGGACAGCTAACCGACTGAGCATTGGGAAAAATTCCCCCAGTCACTCGTGCCTCCTTAATGAAATCAACTGTTTCTATTTTGTATATCCTTGCATGCATGTCTTCTCCTTCCCCCATCAAATGTCTGCCTTGAGGGCAGGGAATGTTTCATTTTTGTCCTTCTGTCCCCAGTGCCAGGCACATCAGAGACACTTATTAATATTTGTTGCTTCAGTGATTGACTGTCCAGAACTCATATGTCCTCACTGCCTGATTAGCATTCTACCCTTTCCCAAATCTATTTTTTTTCTTTTTTATTTAAAGTGGCCATTCTTTTCCTCATTTCTTATAAATCCTTAATCGTTGAATAGGCTTCACCTCAATCAAACGAAGACCTGCTAAAGACCTTAGCTTGAAAATGTCAAGGTCCCCCACTGCAACCTGGGCCATCTCCAGCGATCCTGATCTGTATCTGGCCACTGGACTCAGAGAGCTTCGGAGGAGAAAGTGAGGCTGGTGACTTTGCACAGCCCTCCCTCACTTAAATCCAATTCACTTGCACGTCATGGCATCACCTTCCTGGTGTCACGACCCTCTTCGAGACCGAAGGACAATCAGCAAGATCCTCAGAGGCTGGGATTTGGGTTTATAGAAGGTTGTTCCCCACACAGAATCCAGCACGGCGCTTTTCATCCAAAATAGGCATTTTCAATGCATGAATGAAAACCTGCTTTTAAGAAAGGCACTGCTACCAGTCATTGACACCTTCGCTGATATGAGCCAAAGCGCATTTCTCCCAGTAATAGCTGCATTGTATGCTCTGGCTCTCCCATGAGGCTGTGGGCTTTTGAAGAGCAGGGATTCTTTTTTACCGTTCTTGTATCCCCAGAACTTAGCAAGATGCCAGGCACATAGTAGGTGATTAATAAATCCTAGTTGACAGACTGACTGAAGCACTTACTGCTAATTTTATCATAAAAGTCATTTGATTGCAGACATCAATAAGTGGGTACTTATCATGATAAGCCATGGTAGAGAGGTCTCTCACCCAGAAGACCTTAGGTCTTCCACTACCAGAGCTGCTGATGGCTCGTCTCTGATTTGTACAGATTAGAGTCAATCCCTTTTAATAACCTGTGAGCCCTAGTTTAAACTGTGTTTAAATTGTGATTATCTTGCCAGTTATGGGGGGAGAGGGAAGAGAGATGGACAGACAGAGAGAAACAGATGGAGGTAGAGACCGAAACAGAGACTGAGCTAGACAAGCAGAGGCAGAAGAGACTGATAGAGACAGAGACACAGAGAGAGATTATTTATTAAACACTACGTGCCAGACACGATGCTAAATGCTGGGGATACAAAGAAAGGAAAAATCATGGTCTCTGTCCTCAAGCAGCTCACATTCTAATGGGGAAGGACATGTCGCTCATGAAAGAGAGCTGGAAAGTGGGTGGGGAATCCATGCAAGGAAAGACTGATTTGGTGGTGTCGGGGGAGGGGAAGGGGAGACCTGAATCTGGTGATAGTTCACTTATCAGAGCCCATGGTGGTTTCAGGGGCAGAGTCCAACTTTCTGGTGGAGAGGAGATGGGGAGAAAGGCTGAAGTGGAGTTATGGTGGGGACGTGGTTTGGAGATGGCTGAGTAGCAAATCCCACTATAGCCATCAGTGAGCCCCGTTCCCTCCTATCCCCCCTATTTTGTGAATCCAAGTGAAAAACAAGGTATGGGGAAAGAGATTTGTCAGAAGGAGCAGGGAGAAAAAAAGCTGGGCTTTTCTTTAAAGCAGTGCAGAAAGTCCCATCTAAGACCAGGGTTCAGATTCCACCTACCTAGGAAGGAAGGTTCTTCAGTTGCCCTGAGCCTAGAGGGTTACCAAGGTTCCAGCCTTCTGACCCAGTTGGCCCAAGTAACAGTCTGACTGAGCAATGGAAAGATTTTCCTGGGCGTTGCAGACAGGTACCTCCTACCAGAACCAGATGGCATTGGGTGGTACATAAAACTTGTCATACAACGCCATCCCTTCTTGCCACCCAGCTCCAGGCCACCAAAGCAGGTCTGAAAGACTTACCTACTACAGAATTTCCTAGGCTATGTGGACCCAAGAGCAGAAATCTTCCTGTAACAATAATCGGCTTGTTTCAAGCATATAGAACAATACAATGACCCCTAAGGTCCATTTGGTTCCCTCATCTTTGACTTTCAGGAGTTTATTTTGGATGAAAAGTTCTTAGTTGAGTCACAATTACTTTGTCTCCAGTTAAGAAAATTGCTAACACCTAGGCAAAGTTTGGGCTTTTTTTTTTTTTTTAAAGCCTTACACTTTTCCTTTCTCTCTGTCTCTGGTCTCTATCTCCTTCCCTTGCTGCTGTTTCTCTCCCCTGATGCTGTCTATCTCTCTCTCTGTCTTTGTCTCTGTCCTTCTCTTAGGTGATCTCTGT